GGTTGTGGACAGGTGACTTTTATACTGATAACAAGGTCAAACAGGTGCCATTACTACAGGTCACGAGTGGAGGACAGAAGAGCCTCTTAAAGAAGTAGTTACAGGTCTGTGAGAGCCAGACCTCTTGCTTGTTTGTAGGTGACCAAATACTTATTTTCCACCATGATTTGCAAATAAATTCTTTAAAAATCAGACAATGTGATTTTCTGGATTTTTTTTCTCATTTTGTCTCTCATAGTTGAGGTATACCTATGATGAAAATTACAGGCCTCTCTCATCTTTTTAAGTGGGAGCACTTGCACAATTGGTGGCTGACTAAATACTTTTTTGCCCCACTGTAAATACACACAAAAAAGGACTTACTGTCTTATTTCCTGCTTGTGATCTAGGTGGCTTGCAGATCGATCTTTCTTCACTAACGCAGCATTAAACCCTAGATTCTAGAAAGAGACATAATGTGAGTACACAAGTTTCCACACAGATCTTATTTTAAAATCAAAAAGATATAGACTATTGGCAAAGGGAAACTGATTCTTCATAAAAGCTGTTTTATATGTTTAGACAGCTCTGCATATTATTTGAGTAACAACAAACATTGTCTTAAAATAAGTTGCTTTAAAACAGCATTTCTCAACCTCAGCAACTTTAAGATGCGTGGACTTCAACTCCCAGAATTCCCCAGCCAGCATGTCCCATCCCCAGTCCACGCACCTTAAAGTTGCTGAGGTTGAGAAACACTGCTTTACAATACAGGATATAATATTAACAATGATAGAACACTGGCAACAGCTTACAGCCTAAATAAACAGATATGAGAAATAAGAAAATGTAAGGGGGGTGGGGAGAATAAGGACATAAACCAAACTGTGAAAACTCTTCGGTTTTTATTGCCTTAATCCTAGCATTATTACTATTCACACAGCAGCACCAGAAAGTTCCAACTGCAAACCAGCTCCCACATCCATCCTCTTCTCTCACAGTTTCCTCTACCTAGTTACAATGGCTTTTATTGATCAAAGAAATCTAGGAAATAAAACGGAGCGAGTTTACAAACGGTGCAACGGTACCGACAAAAACGCTTACCTCTATAATCTGTATAATGTCTCGAGGGCCAACTATCTCAGGATCGTACTTAATGTGGGCTTTGTTGGTTGCGAGAGCCACTGAGCTATACAGAACCCCTTTCATTTTCATAAGGGTAGACTCTATTTTATGAACACACGAGGCACAAGTCATCCCTCTTACCTGTGAGAAAAAACGTTTTTGTTTGCAGAATATTGTTTCTTAAGGAGTCATTTTGCCTGCATGATACATAATGAAGCTGAGAGTAATATGATAAAAGTAAGGTAGAACTCCCTGAAAAAAACCCCAAGATTTGTACTAACTTATCATTGCTTTTGTTATCATTCTGTAATTGTTCTGCTATTCAAACTGGTAAATCGCTCCTTCTACTTCTGCAGAATGGAAATGAGACACAGATAGGTAAACAGATGTGATTCAGAGTTTAAACTCTGCAGTCCACCGAGGAGTAGAGCTTTAGGCGGGTTTGGGGAAGCCAGCCATTTGCTCTGCATTGCAACAGCTCTGCATTCTGTCAGTCAGCAGTTGAACTTCCTAGTCAGCACAGAGCCCTACGCTGGAGAGTGCATACTTTGCCTTCCTGACCAACAAGAACAGGGGGGAAAAAAAACTGATGTGGGCATGGAGAAAAAAGCAAATAGATGAATATATACAGAAGCACACTTCTGTCTGGGGAAAGGAAAAAAAATTCTCCCACTAGGACTGGAAACTTGGAAACAGCAGCAGAAATGTGCCAACCTTTTTGGTACACATGGAAAAATAGATATTACTTTACAGCAAAATAAATTGGTTCTTAGCTACAATCTTGAAGGGAAACTTCACCACATTCAAGAATATTTCCAACTCAACCTGCATAGACAAAGTTCCCCTAAAGAGGAGCAAGAAGTCAAGGTGGAGTTGGAGGGCTGGTTCTGCCACTTCCATATGGTCTCACTTAGAGTGCATGGTATGACTTCCAAGTTTTTAAGAAGCCAGAATATACCGCAGCTATTCAAGTGCTTCCATCCCCTTCATATTGGAATAAAAAACTGCTAGATGCATAACCAACTTTGTGCAGATAGTTACTGAGATAATCTGCTTACAACAAGCTCCAAGATGCCGTCTCCTTCATCGTAATTCTCCAGCACTGTAGCACCAAAGCCCAGCTCTCTAATCATTTCTGCTACAGTCGGGGGCTGGATGATGGAAGGGTCGTATCTCACTTCAGCCTTCCCAGCCATCAGGGCAACGAGTACAGAGCATATTCCTAAAAACAGGGAGTCACACTTAGTAACGTTTAGGGAAAAAATGATCAGTCTGCTCTACACTCGATTGACCTAGGTAAGTGTTTCACATACTGCTATTTTCATTAGCCCAAACTGATTTCATTAGGACATGTCTGAAATTACACTATCTGTAACAATGAGAAGAGCTAAGGGGTTCTTTTTAAATGAAATTATTTGTCTCTAAGAAGAACAGAATGATTCTTAGAATTTAAAATGGATAACCTCTCTCAATAACTGTTTGTACAAAGATGAAATAAATATTAATATTGCATAACACGTTACACTTAAATAAAAATAATTTCTCGGGCTTTCTTTTCTTTTTACAAAAAATGAACACAATACATTGTTTGGTCTTTTCAGATGTATTCCCCATAGTTACAGCACCTTGAAGAATTTAACCAGTAATTCTGGGTGAAGTCAATTTAAAAAATCTAAAATGCCAATAATATCAAAACTGTACTGATTACCTGCACTGGCATTAATCACTGTGTCTCATAAATTGCAATGAGAAAGTCAACAGCCCCACCCAAATGCATGGGCCTACACCCTGCGTGCCAGCAACGCAACGCTGCACACCTGAACTGCCCTAAAAATAGCGGGCACCAGCGCCTCCACGCTTGAATCTTCCTCCAGCCCCTTATTCTGAGAGACCCACTCAAGGTGTCCACCTCTTTCAAAGCCACTAGTCTTTGAAGAAAGTAAATTCTCGCATCCATGTAGCTTTCTGGGCAACAATATGGAAACCGATGGTCAAAGCCGTTTCCCTGGATTCTTTTCTTTACTTTTGCCTCAAGGGTGACGGCAGGATGGCAGCTCCTGACCGACCCTGGGTGAACTGGAAAAAGCTGGAAGTGCTGGCTAGGGCCAGGATGGGAGGCTCCAGGGCTGTAGCATAGACTAGGAAGCCAAAAAGGAAAAAAATCAGAACTTGCCCAAACCAGTTCTGTACTGCTGAGAAGACAGCAACATGGACATGTCCATCTGGTTACCAGGATTCAAGCTCAAAGACGACTTAGAGCAGACAGACAGGAAAACAAAGCTGGTGGCTTTTAGCAGAACTGAAATAACATGAATTCAATTTTTTCTCTTCTGTCACTGACACACAGCCAGGATTAAAACTGGCTGTAATAAAAGCAGCCCAAGATCCCAGGTCTAGGGCTGCTCAGTTCTGATCTGTAGGAACAGGAAGGGAGACAAGGAAGTGGGGGGGGCGGGGGACACAGCCCAGGTCCAGAGGTGTGATGCTGCTGCTCCCCAAAACCTTGATTTATGGGGCTGTTCTTAGAGGTGATTCCTTTCATCCTCCACAAATGTGGAAAATGAAATTTGGAACAAACCCTGGCACAGTGAAAATTCTGAACTCTCTTTAGAGCATCATGCCTCAATGACAACCTTCAGGAAAAAAAGGGAGGCCTATGGCTCAAGTGAATCAGACAAGAGCCACCCCCAAGGGTCAAAGGTGCCTGGAGGTGTCAGTGATACCTCCTCTCCTTGCACCACATGGGCCCTTGCCTTCATCCTTGGCCAGGAGTTCAGATCAGAATAGCCACACTTCTGTCTCCACCTGAGATCTGGTCACTGTCAGTAATAAATCACTGCATCTATGACAGCAAACGTTAGTCAGTTCTATGGAAGCCTTTCTTACCATCTTCTCTCTTCAGATTCCTCTCAATGTTTGCCACACAGGAAGCACAAGTCATGCCAGTGATCTGAATGTAGCATTTTGATGGTGTCTTCAGACCTGGTCTGTTAGGAGCTGGCGACGGGGTGGGATGAGCTGCTGTTCTGGGAAGTTTGCTCTCCTGAGTTCTGGCCAGCCTCTCCTGGGAAGGCTCGGTTATTAGCACCACCGGCTCTGGGCTCGGGGGTACTGGGAGCAGAAAATTATCATCAGAAAACGCTTGTCCAGCTCTTCAACCGAGTACACTCTCATGACAGGAGTAGATACGCTGATCTTTCTGGATGCTCAAGCTCCCTGCCCCACCTGACTTTAGTTTTTTTAAAGGAATCTTAATTAAAAAGTAAAACTAATAGATGAGAACCAACAGATGGGGAACGGATATGCTCTAGGGTAAGGCAAACTACTCTCTCTTTCCAGAAGTGCCACTTGGTACCACAGAAACAGAATATCCTGCAGGGTTAGGAAAGGAAGCATGGAGCAACCTGGGAACCGGCCAGGCCTATTGTGGCAGCCATTTTGTGAGAGAGCCCTTTATATTTATTGGTTAGGTGCATCGCCTGTCTTTCCCCCAGGAGCTCAAGAAATCATCCACAGCCCTCCCTTCTTCCAGTTTTCTGACACAACACCAACTCAGTTAGGCAGGCTGGGCTGAGAGAGTGCAACTAGACCATGGAGGTCCCATGGCCCGGGAGGAATTGAATTTGGGTTCAAAACCCCACCTTTTCTGCAGCATCACACTGATTCCTCTCAAGACACTCCCCAAATTCCAAATGTGCCCCACCAACCCCAAAAGATACACATCTCTACCCAGGGGCCCTTGCCGCTACCTTAAGTGGGGAATGTAGAAGGAAAAAGCTCCAGGCAAATTCCACCCAGGAACGACACTTCCACTAAACTCTAGCAAGCTGTCCTTGTCAGGGTGCAAAAGGAAACTGCAAACAGCAAGGAAACAGGGACCTGCTCCTACATTCCTTTGTTTGCTGTTTTCCTTGAGTTTTCCCAGAAGGTACTGAAATATTTGAGAATGTCTGCATTTTCCAAAAAAGCTAGCGGAACCAGGGGTTCTGAGATAGCTGAAAGGAGGCTGCCAATCACTAATAACCACATCTGATCGTAACACAAGGCATGTACTCCAATGCAGAGTAGAGCACATCTAAAGAGCCAAATCAAAACACTTCTAGCAAATTGTGGGGATCTAACTCACATTTCCCTGGATACCACATAGGACAACCAGGAAAATTCTGTTCTGACCATTCCTGTGCATGATACTGCTCCTTTCCCATCCTGCCTCCCCTAACGGGATCCAGAGTTATTCTCCTGCAGAGTAATAAGTAATAAGATGGCAAATGCTAATAGGCCACTAAAAAGGAAAAGAAATGGCTACTTGCTATGAAGAAAATTGTAAGATATAAGGTTGATCTCTAAATTTGTTTTAAGGAAAATGCAGGTTAAATGGATTGGGAGGAGGCAACGCAACACCAGGTTTGCGGGGTCCTCTCCAGCAGCCCAGGATTACCCCTGCGAGTGGATTGTTACAGAAGAAGATGTGAAAACAACATATTCAAAGTGGGGCCCCTCCTGCAGAACCGAACTGAATAAATATTGCAGATGTATTTAGAATAGGCATATTGGTGACAAATCCTGCCTGGAATGACCCTGCCATCGGCTAACTCTGAGCTTCTGGGTGGACTGACTGGTCTGAAAAGCCAGAATGGGAGGAGGGGGCAGCCGTAGCCTCTTCACTTCCACACGCTTGCTCACAGCCCCTTCTGCCCGTGGCTCTGCTCTGAAGGCCCCAACTCACCTGCATGCACTGCAACCCCCTTAAACCGGCCCCGTTAAGGAGATCGCCCTACTATCCCGCACAATCCCTCACCCCCCCAAGAAACAACTGCACTTGTCAAGTCTACGCAAAACCCAAAGAGTAACTTACCAGCTACAGATGCATCAAAGCCCATGTCTTCAATTGAGTTTTTTAAGTCACCTGGAGAGGTCAGGGTGGGGTCATACTCTATAGTCCCATTATGGTCCCGCAGCGACACACATACTGACTTCACACCTGGTTTTTGTGAAATGAGCCCCTCAATTGACTGCACGCATGAATTGCATGTCATTCCTTCAATACGGATCACGGTCACAAGCATCAGGGGATGAGGCACGATGCTGTGAGCAGCTCTTGGAAAAGAAGGCTTCAGCAGAGACTTGGAGTTCTTAGTATGCTCAGCATTTTCACGCGCGTCCAAAAGGCAGACCTTGAAAGTCCCCGGGGAGACGGCTTCTATCGCTCTTCTGAGTGTACCAAGGCTGATGAGGCTGGGGTCATACTGGACAGTAGCCGACTTTTCCTGCAAAGACACTGTGATGCTGGTCACTGAAGGAAGTGCTGATATGCTACTCTGAATGTTGAAGACACACGAATTACAGTGCATGCCATCAACCCGGAAGGTGGTGGTCTTTGTGTTCAGCTTGTCTCCCAAACTTTCCTGCGGTGTCCTTTCTGAGCATTTGCTCTGGGTGTTCTTCAGCCGCTCTACATCGATAGCACCGAGTTGGAGCGGTTTAGACATTTTCTTTATGGATGCGATGAAACCCGCCGCTTCTATTTGCTTTTTTATTTCTTCTGATGTGATGATCTGAGGCTGATACGTGACTATAGCTTCCTGATTATCCAGGGAGACTAGAAGATCAATGGAAAAGGGTTTGCATGATTCTCTCTTGGTGTTCCATAAAATATTTATCCAAGAAAAGACATTCTGTAGGTTATTTCCCTCCCTAGGTTAATGGTCCAGTTAATGCCAAGAAATCAAGGGACTCAAAACCAAGCACAGCATGTTTCAACTTGAAAAGGCTGCTCTGATCTTGGAGTGAGTTGTTCCAAGTAGAGGTGTGCACACAACAGGAAAAAAAAATGCTTTATTTCAAACCCAGAATAAACCGTTGCGTTCCAAATCATTTTGGATCAGCCAGCTGAAACACAAACCCTCTAGGCCCTCCACATTCAGACAAGTGTGGCTAAGCTGGTGCAGCCTGTCCCTCTCTCCTGTCCTCCCCTCAGCAGCTCTCAGCATGGCACATCCCTCTGGCCAGCTAGCTGTTCGATTTTCCCAGCACTCTTCCGGCCCTCCCTCTGCCCCTCTCTCCCCATAGCCGTCGCTGATATCCGAGGGGCTTTTGCCACACACTCTCCCTTCCTAAGCCCCTTCTGCCCAGAACGTTCACTCCATGCCTGGAAAAAAGCAAAGCAGCCCTTTCATGCTGAACCTGGTTCAAAATGCCTGATGCAGTTCAGGCATAGACCACCCAAAACCAGCTGTTTAAGCCATGGAATAGTTTGCACGTTGATAGTTCCGAGGAGTCCAGAAGTAGCTGGAACAAAAACGATCCTGTTCCGAGTGTTCCGTGAGGCTTTAAAACAGGTTGCTTCCAGAATACTTGGACAGGCCATTTTGGGGTTAGAACATTCTGGGATGGAGTGTTTTTGCATGGCCTCACCAGGAAAGCATCCTCTCGCTCAGCTAGAAGAGTCTGATGGAACTGCTGTGACAGCGTGCAACCGAAATGAATCACATGGCAAAGAGGTGGAATTTAGCTTTCAGAGTGGGAGTGGCAGCATCTGGTGCAGTTACATCACACCATGGAGGCAGGATGAGTCTCTGATACAACTTTTTCCAGTTCTGGCAGAACCGCCATCCCCTCTGTTCTTGTTAGTCCCAGAGACTCACGAGATTGAGGGGAAAAAAATATTTCAAATCTGTACATTCGGTTAGGTTAGGTTCTCTTTCTTGGTTCTGTTGAGCACACAGAAGGCTGGGTGGTACCTTTTAGAAATATCAGAAGTACTTTTCTGAGCAATAGCTTTAAGACACATTTACACTAGGAACTGGAGAGTAGCAGGTGGATTTAGACCTTTCTCCATAAACAAAACCATCATTAGTATTTTGTACCTCTTGGGAGTTAATTGCCTATTTAGATTATACTGGAGAATTGATGAAAAAGGTTTAAAAAAAGAAAACCCCAAAAGTGCTATGCATTTTTAATTACCTTTAATTCGTGTGACTCCTTGCAGTTTGCCAATTTTTCCTTCAATGGTGCTCGTACAGGAATGGCAGGTCATCCCCTCTATTTTCATTCTTAGCACCACGTCATTTATTTGGCTTAAACTCACATCTTCACATGTTCCTTGATTTCTCTCCTGTGTTGCATTATCCAAACTTAATCCTGGTACTATTTGGTTAATCTGCTTGCTATTTAGAATGGAAGAAACAAAGGTTACAACTAGAGTTTTTTTGTCAGAAGAGATTTTCACATCCAGAATGCCTTTCATCTTTAGGAGGTCTGTACGAATCTGTTCACACGTTGCAATTGCCTGGGCGGGAATTGTAAGGAAAGTGGTGTCAGACGGAACGAACTGTGGGTTAGCGTCTTCGACAACAGCATCAAACCCCATGTCTTCAATGGCTTCCTGCAGTGACTCCGGGATTTGCTCTTTGGGGTTGTAAACAATGGTGGCATTCTTATCATCCAGGGAAACCTTGGAGAGAAAGAGAAAAGGCAGCTGAGCCAAGCGAGATTAAGATCTCCTTAAAGTAGCATTAACACATCAGGCAACTTTGGCTTATTATGGTGACACCCGGAATGGCAAATTCACTCACCTGAGAAGGAAGTGTAAGGCGGTACCTATGAAACCATAAATTAACTTGGATTTATCTGTAAGACAAGACGGCGAGCTACAGGGTGAACCACAATGAAAGCAGCCAGATGATTTCAGAACCTCTCACACAATAATACAGTATACATTTCTCACATGAACTTTCTACAGTGCCCTAAGTGTACCTTACAACCCATATACAGTAATGACAGCTAAAGATTAGCCTAATCTCCGACTGTTATGCCCAGAAAGTTAAATAGCTGGCTGATATGGAACATGCTGTTACATTTAATGCTGCGCTAACTTGTGGTGGGCGGTGTACAGGGCCACAGGTTGGGATAAACGGATTTGGTTGAAGGGTACCAACCCCCCTCCCCAATTTTTAAAAGTATTCTGTGGCATATAACTGGTGGGTATTTAACTAGGAAAATTAACCAGGAATGGGCACTGAATTCCACATACTTTGAAAAACAAGGAAAGCAAACTGCCGTATTATGTATATAAATCGGTTAGTATTTTAATAAAAAGGCATAACCACCCAAGAGATAAAGAACCAAACACTGTCAGGAGGAAACGGCAAGTTACAAATACAAACACAAAAAGGGAAAGGAGAAATAAATGGTGATCAACCTGCAGGAGAAACCAAAGCAGCTAACCTAAATAAATGAACACGCCTGACTTATTATTCTGGAATCTGGGGCGGCTCAGCGAAGGGACTTGGGTAGAAAACTCAAGATGGGTCTCCCACCAAGTCTCCAGAGGCAAAAGGGCCTGGGCCGGGAGGTAGATAATCAAGGCCCTGCGGAGCTTCCCTTGGTGGGCTCCTCCCAGAACAACCCTATTATCATCATGCTTTTGTTCTATCAATCCATACCAATGTGGATTATGGCAGCCTGAGTCCTAAGCAGAGAACAATGGTTCCCAACCTCTCGTCTGGAGACCACAAGTGTACCAGGAAGGTGCTGCAGGCAGTCCTTGGTCTGGACAGCAACATCAAAACGCTTTTAAAAGACTCTCGATCTCCTGCCCAATCTCAGAACATGTTGGCACTCTCACCCAAACTCTCACATGCTGCAGTTTTGGTGATCTCACAATATTGCAGCTATTGTTCAGAATTAACTGAATGTTATTTTATTTTATGTGCCATGGACACTATCAGGGAATCACACACGCCATGGCACACAGACTGAGGTCCCATGAGGAAAGGATGACAGGATGCAGCCTCTCCCAACCTAAGATTAGACTCCAAATCCTAGCACAGCAAAACATTTCATTTAGCACCCCAAGGTTCCTTTCACACGAGTGATTTTTCCATCCAAGCCTGAAGTATGCGCAGAACAGAGTGAAGGCAGATATACCCTTCCTTTGTTGCTTCAGCTTGTGGAGCAGTACAGAAAGCCTCTCCCGCTTCCTCGCCCGGGTGTAATGCCTGGCTGTGATTAAAGCACATTTGCTGTTCCTGAGAGCTTCTTCTAGGAGAACAAATGGCTGTACTCATCTTAGCCTCTTTACTTTAGTAAAATATGCATCACAGATAAGCAGGAACATGGACGCTGATCCTCTGGCAGCCAAGGCAAAAAAGTCACGACTCCACTGAGTCACAAAGGAAGATTACGAGTTACAAGCAGGAGAACTTCTTCTCTGAACTTTTAGCCCCCACAGTTTTGCTAACGTCAGAAACTTTCTCATGTGATGGGAACAAACGTCTAAAATCTGATTTGTTTTTCAGCAGGCTGCCAACCTCTGCTGCTTCAATTTCTAAAAGGGCAAATGGACATTACTGGAAAGCCCATTGAATTAACTGCAAATTTTCCATTTTCTGTAGGCAAAACACAACCTGGAAGCCCCTATGTGATCCAATTACACAAATGTAATCTCTTTAAATATGGTAGCTTCTTTCTTCTGTCCTTGGCTACAGTATCATGGATTGATTTACTGCCAATTACATGGAAGATAACCACATTCAGGCTCTCTGCACTGAGCACCGTCCTCCCCCATCCCCACCTTAAGAATACTGAACCCAAAAAGGAAACTAAGCTGCTTGCAAAGTGGTCCTTTACAATTGCATCCCAACTGGCCCCTGATCTGATAATAAAAGTCAAATTACTTACTTTAATGTCATGAACTCCATTTAGTTTCCCAATATGCTGCTCAATAGTCTGTACACAAGAATTGCACGTCATTCCCTCCACGTGAACAACAATTGATCTGGCCCCTGATGATGGATCCATTCTGTTTATACTTTTGCATTCCTGAAAATTAGAAAGGAAAAAACAGTGGCACAAATAAAACAAAAACACAAACCAGGTACCCCATTTATACTGAAATGACAGAAGGCCTACAAGAAAACCTCCAGGAAGAATGGATTCCAGATATGAGGTCAGACATCGACTCTTTGCCTAACTTGATTCACGGGGTTATCGGAGAACGAAAGAAAAGGGGGTACACGTTGCCTTGAGCTGCTTGGAGGAGAGAAAGGCAGAAGAGAAATGAAATGAATAAATAAATAAGCAAAACAAAGGGTGTGGCTAGGGGGTGTAGACTACACCATCTATTTCCAAAAGCAAGGTATTATAAATGCTAATGAGAAGCAATCTGGGTTGCTTAAAAGGAGCAGCAGGAATAGATGCAAAGCTGACAAGTTTATTCCCATTGGTATGTGGAAAACCCTTAGAAGACTAACCCAAATAACAAATGTGGAATATGCAATTACTCTGTATGACTAAGCCCTTGTTTACATTAATTCCCAAAGTGACAGTACTAGATCATCCAGAATGGGTAAAGACTTTTATCCACCTTTCGCTCAGTACAACTTCCCTGTAGACTGCAGAACTGGAGGTAGACCCACTCCAAGCCTATCAATCAACCAAAGAATGAAGGATGCTAGATAGCGTGTGCTTGAGGTGCACGCTGGTCTGTGCGTGTTTGAGTACAATTCACTGCAAGCTACCTTAGGAATCAACACACTGGAAGACACAATCCAGACTGCACAAAATCAGATCCATTACCAAATGTGGATGTGGTGTTAAGGCATGCTTTCAATACCTCTCCATTAGAAAGCACACAAAGAGACCCCACTTTTACTCTTGCTATCACAAAAAGTAGGCAGAGCATCAAGAGCTGTTCTCTCCAGACCCCCAAATATAGGCCTGGTCCAGTAAATGAAAGACTGAATATTACCTTGATATGTAACAGTACAGAGTACATTATAAAATTATTATAGTCAATTTTCCTACTAATCCATTTATTTATTTATTTATTTATTTATTTATTTATTTATACATCACATTTATATAGCCACCCAACTCACAAAGCAACTCTGGGCAGCGTACAACAATTAAAATAAAATAACATGTGAATGAAAACAAGCATTATAAAAAGATAAAAAGTTATTATTAGAATAAAAACATCACATTTTAAAAAAAAGATTTAAATTTTTTTTAAAATATACAAACCCCACGGAGAGAGCAGAATATCAATTACAGTGGAGCCATTTAAGAATGTCTCTGGCTCTCAAAGACCCCCAGGCCTGATGAAACAACCAGCTCTATACTTGGTTTTTAAAATTAGTTTGAGTATTAGTGCTATACCCCAAACTTTCTCACATGGTTCAGAAGAAAACAGAAATGATGGCAGAAAAAAAGTTATTCCTATTATGAATTAGCCATCTCAAGGAACACAAATAATTATTTGTGACTTTCAGGATTAACTTTTGTCAATTAACCACAAATACCTCTAGGACAAAGTTTCTTAAGAGTTTCCCCTTCACCTGCTGTTTATAGTTTGCTGATAATGAAAACCTCTGTTGTCGCATAACAATGACACTAAAGTTCTTAAACACATTTTAAAAGCAATTACAGATTTAGAATTTTAGGTGGCAATTAAGTAGCAGGTGCAAATGAAGCTTTTAACAAAGAACAGTTTTCATGTAAATAAACCTAATTGGGAAAAAAAGTCAAGCTAAAATGCATCAGGGCTGGGTTTTGTTTGGGTATGTTATATTCAAAACAAGGAGAGTCAGCTGTAGGGTTGGACTGGCACTGATCAGATCCCCCTTTGGGTCAGTTACTTTCTCTCAGCCCAGCCAACACCCCAGGATTGTTGTTATGACTATGGTAATTGGGACCGGAATTTCTGTCACTAAGCATCGCAATCAAAAAGTGCGATGTCACGTGACTGCACTGCTTAGCAAAGGCAGTTCCAGCAGTCCCTGTTGCTGTTGTTAAGCGAGAACTGCACGGGTCATTAGGTGAGGACCTCACATGATTTCAACTTCCACATTGACACTGTTTGTCAATGGCATAGAAAGTTGTAAATCATGATCATGTGACTGTGGGACACTGTGACAGTTGGAAATCGGGGCTGGTTGCCAAGCATTCCGATTGCAATCATGTGACTGCAGGGGTGCTACGTCAGCCAGAACTTTGAGGACCAGTCGTAACTACTTGTTCAGTGTCATTGCAAGTTCAGTTGCTGAACAAGTGGTTGTTAAACGAGGACCACTTGTAAATAAACTGCTTTCATGAGATGATTATAACAAACATAATTTGGATAGGTCCTAATCTATCTGATGTGGGAAATGGAGGTTGCATGTTTTCTCCAACTGACAACGCAGTGCCAGATCTTCTTTCTTTGGCTCCATTCAAGAGAAACCTCTAGAGCAGTGTTTCTCAATCTTGGCAACTTTAAGACGTGTGGACTTCAATTCCCAAAATCCCCCATCCTGCTTGCCTTAAGATGTGTGGACTGCAACTCCCAGAATTCTCCAGACAGATTTCTGGGAGTTGAAGTCCATGCATCTTAAAGTTGCCAAGGTTGAGCAACACTGCTCTAGACAGAGCCGGGTTCCTTTTCAAAAAGTTTACACCTGGCTAGCTGATAACAAGAACAAAGGCAGGCTAGGGATAAAATTTTAAGAATTGGTTCAAGTATGTCCATGAATTGAGGAATGTTATGTACTATGTAATTATACATAATTCACTGGACTTAACTAGGGACCATGCACATATTTTCATGATGCTCTGGAGAAAAGAGATTACAACTTTCATAACAGAGCCAAACCCTAACCAAGCCCTTATTTAATGAACTACTTCCTTCTCAAAAAAAAAAAAAAAAAGTGTGCAGCACCGGTGAGTGCTTTAAATCACATGGGGAGTAAATCAGAATTTCTTCAATTCAGACCTGCACAAATGATGCCCCATGGAAGACCTCATGCTTTACTTCCTGTTTTGCTATCAGCCTGGAATCACGTTCAACTTAGTGGATAACAAGTTGTGTAGACCTCATGTAGATAACCAAGGGGCTAAACATCATACTGCAATTATCCAGACATCACAAAAATCAAAAATTATCCCAGTTTCACCCCACCTCCAAAAATTGCAATCTTTTAAAAATAATTTTACTGTAAAAATATATTTGATTTTTGGGATGTCACAAGTGCCGCATTGTCAACTTCCTAACTGAATGGCCATTTCAGAAATCTGCACCTCCAGCACTCAGTTATGGGCCAAACTTCTACACTCTCTGGGCATATAATATTTTCAGGTTCCAAGAAATATATCAAGAATACTTGTGAGTTTATAAATTCCTGAGTCTGTGCTGTTACTGATACTGACAGTAATAATTAGATTGATAAGAAAGAACTGATTCTTATCAGATTTTAGTCATTAGTGATAATCTAGATGAAATAACTTTAAATTAAGCATAACCTAAGAGAATCTTTTCTGATAAGCACCTGTTTTACATAGGGAAAAACTGTGATTAAATCCTGAAACCGGATTGTCAGGATTTCATGGACATTTTTGACTTAAATGGACAAAACATCTGATTTTCTACATTCCAGCATCTTTTTTCTACCAGAACAGACAAAATATGCCTGCAGAAAACCTACAAGTAGGACACTGAGCCATTTAATGTAGTTACGAACTGATTGTATTACTGAAAGTCTTTGGGCAAATTCATATTACACATTGATTTATTTATTGGATTTAAAGACTGCCCAATTCCCACCCAGTTCTGGGCAGTTTACATTTAAAAGTTAGAAACAATAAGAAGAAGAGGAAAACAAACATGTTCATCCAGAAGAAACAAATCCAGCATGCCAGACAAAGAAAACCAACAGAGATTCAACCACCTTAATCCCAGGCCTGGGAACCAAGCCAGGTTTCATGACTTCGACATCACACAGGAGCTGTACAGATCTCTGGGGGGATGCTATAGCAAGGGGCGAGTGTTGCAATAGAGAAGGCACACTTCTTAGGTCCCAAAAGATGACATCACTTGAAGGAAGGGACCTGTCCAATTCTTCTGGGCAGGCAGAAACCATGGGAGATACACAGTCTCTCAAATAACCAGGCCCCTGTACCATGAAGGGTTTCAAACATGATACCAGCACCTTGAATTGCACCTGGAAGCCAACTGGTAACCAGAGCAGCTCACAGAGCAGTGGTGACACATAAGGGTATCAACGCCCACGCCACTGCCTTCTGGACCAGCTGCAGCATGAGTGGTCTTCAAAGGCAGCCCCATGTACAGCACACTACAGTAGTCCATTTGTGGGGTGACTAGGGCATGAGTAATTGCCTGAAGGGTGTCCCAATCTAGGAATGGGCACAACTAGTGTTGTGCAAAAGCCCTCCTGGCTACAGCTGCCACCTGCTCGTTGAGCAGGGGCTGTGAGTTTGTTACTGTTGCACAAACAGAACTGGGCCACAATAGTTTCAGGCAAGTGGTATGGTGAATAATATCTTAACACAGAGGATGAGCTTTCAGAGTTTCACAAGTCTAACAGAAATAACATTTACAACTTTTATTTTCTCTACAATTCATGTCAAGTCAGCGATGAGCCATACTGATGATGAACACTTCAGGACACCTGTTAATATAAAGTTCTATGTTACCACCCCCACTGCATTTGTGGCTGTAGCAAGAAAGATGCGCAGGTGGAAGGAAGGAGGACAGAGCCTTACAGAAACAGGTCTGAGCAGATCGCGACTTTCTCAGCTACACTATGCAAGATTTTGGATGAAAAGGAGGTGGGAATCCCAGGGAAAAAATGGCTGTTTCTTAACAAAGGGAGCCGGCGGTTCTTCTGCCATGGGCACCTGCAAGGAAAGCAGAGGGGACAGAGCCCCTCACCAGACATTTGTCCCTACCAATAAGGAGGAGGAGAAGAAATATTAACTCAAGTGAAAGATCCATAATGCCCATCTTTCCAACATTCCTTAAGGGCTTCCCAAAATTAGTACATCAAAATCATACCACACTTGCTACCCAGGTATACCACCGTATTCATGAAAACTCAAGTACATACAGGAAAACAAGATCCATA